TAAATATATACAATTGTATTACAATTTTTCAAAATATAGTAATATTTCATTCCTATGATATATTTTTTGCAAATAGAAAAAAAATGTTCCCAATTTTACACTTAATAAATTACCTAATATTATGGATGTTTTGTGATTTTTGTTCTCCTTTGTTTCATCATTTAAAACAAACAAAACTACATGATTTCTTATGATATTTCTCACATATAACATCAACATAGTATCAATAATGTATAATGTTTTTATATTGATGAAATAATACATAGACAACCATTTAAATTATGTAGTTTTATTTGTTAAGTAATTGGAAAAATAAGAGTTAGGAAATATATCTTAACTTCTTTAAACTGGAAAAAATTGTTAAACAGTTTTTTTTTCAGAAACTGCTTTCCTCTTATATTAATAGGAAATTTTGATACTTTGATTTCTATGTATATTAACACTAACTGAACATTAATTAATTACTAACATTCAGTTCTCTAATTACATAGCCTTAATGTTATCCATATTTGTATTTAATGTTTGATAGGAAGAAAATAGCACGAATCAAAATAATTTTCAAAAAAAATATAAAAAGAAGAATAAGTAATACCGAAGTTGGAAATATTGCGTTCGTTGAGTTCCTAATTCTTGTTTGGTTCGTCTTAACTCTTCTCGCAAGTCTTGTAACTGATCCTCGAGACCTTTTATAGTTGCTCTTCGGGCTCCTTGTGTAAGTAAAAGCTCTTGTCGTTCCTTTTCTATCTGTTTCAACCGAGTTTCAACTTCAGTAAAGTTTTCTTTCAGACGACGTTGTTCAGATGTATGTGCTTCTGCCGCCATCTAATTTACAAATCTCCATTAACAAATTGTTACATAAAAATATACTTATGCATTAAAAAACAATTATAATAAATTTATCTACAATAATAAACAAATAGATTATGTGATTTTATCCAGAACAATTAGTCTCAAACTATATATAATACCGTGATATAAATATAATTTATTTATTATTAACTTACTCATTACTTTCAAGTTTATTATTAATAATTCTAATTTCAAAAAGGCTACTAAGTTTGAATATAAAATTAAATTTCATTGTGTATAATGCAATTAATATAAATTCTTATTATTTATTAACATCTAGTGATCAAAATTATTTGTTTAATTATAATATTATAAAATTATATTATAATTTCATTACAAATATAATTACCTTCAATCTTTCACGTAATGCATCACGTTCTTCAATTAAACGATCGACATCGGCCCGTGCAATATCTCGTTCATGTTCCAGACGTTCAATGATATCCTAAAATATTTTTATAAATTTCATGAGTAATTCTTAAATTTTTAAATTTTATTTACAAGAATTTTTTATAATTATAAAATTGCAGATATAACAAGCACACACTTGTTAAACAAAATTATTTGTAATCTTTACCTTTGTTTTGCCAATGTCTTTCATTACAGGAGAACAATTACATACAGCATCACGTTTGCATACATTACAAGATCGATAAGGTGTTTTATATTCAGCTTTATAAGTCTGCAAACGTGTTTCCAAATTAGTTTTTTCACAATATAATTCTTTTTTTTCTCGTTGTAATTCATCTAATGCATTTTCTTTTTCACTTAATTGACATTTCAATTCTCGAATTCGTGACCACAGATCAATCTGTTTTTAATAATAAAAATAATAATATTATGAGAAGTCTATATATATTTTAAAATATTAAATACTTATAAATGAAAACTACGAAGAACAAGAAATATTTTACGTGATCTCTCTCAATCGTTTTATTGTAATTGTCCTTAATATTTTTGTATTCATTTTTATAGAAATCCCTTTCCCTCCTTAATTGTTCAATCACCTGCTGTAACTGATAAAATAAATTCTAAATAATATATTTATATGATTACATTACAAACATGCATGATAAGTAATACTTTCTATGAAACATACATCGTTTATTTCAATCTTTTTTCCATCTAGTTGTTTTAATATATTATTATATCCGACACTATTTGCGTTTTGAAGAAATTCTCTCTCCCTAGAAGCTTCTTGAAATTCTATTCTATTTTGTCCTGATGATTTTAAATCTATTTATAAATTTCTGAATATAATATTATTCTTTCTTTTTTATTATATCTTATATTTTATAATTTTACCTGTATCATAATCATTCTTTCTTCCCTTTTCATTAGCACCTGTTAAGATTATACCATCATCGTCTAATAATATTTCCTTTGTAATCATTTGTTCTTTTAATAATTTATTGCTATATTGTAATTGAATAACATCTTGTTTTTGTTTTTCATTTTCCTTGGCCAATCTTTCAATTTCGTTATTTAAATTTTTTTCTGCGAGATTATTAAAAAATACTTATTAGTTACAAAACTATTTAATTATATTTATACTAATTACATGAAAATAAAAATGATATGTACCAATTACTGTTAATTCATTTATCCTATTAGTCATCTGCTTTTTTTCATCTAATGTAAATTCCAAAGTACGTTGAATATTAAGTTTCTCTGATCTACAGGCTTCTAAGTCTGCTCTCAATTTTTGTACCTCTCTATGTTCAACAGATAATTCGCTTTCTAATATATGAACTCGTGCCATTACATTTTCTAATTTTTCCTGCATAAATATAAGTTCAAATTATGATCAATTTAATCATAATTTTATTATGATAAATTCAAAGATATAATTGTTAAATGCATTTATCAAATGTTAAAAACGAATTTTTTTAAATATAAAATTTTATTTTTAAAAACGTTAAAAAATGTATTACCTGTAATTTAGAAACTCTTTTATTATTTTCCTTAACTGCAGAATTGCAATCAGCTTCTACAGCTAATGCAATATGGTCTATATCTCTTAATTCTTTTTCTAATTCCTCATTTCTATCCGCAAGTTTAAGTGCTTGAGACATAGCATCATGTTGTTTATTTAAAGCTTCTGTATAAACCATAATAAATAAATATATATAATGAATAAGAATCTTTTTAATACTATATTAGAAAAAACATAAAATCTCATTACCTTTTAATTGTTGCTCCAACTCCAACTTTTCTTGTTGAAGAATTTTCAATTCGTTATCATCCATATTGTGATTAGGCATTACAAAATTGCTTTCTGCTTTTATACAAGCACAATCTTTAGAAACAGCAGAATATGGTCTACCTCCTTCTAACATTTTTTTCAATCGTAAAATTTCTTTTTCCTTAGTAGTTAGCTATAAGCATATTTTTGTAATATATTGGTACTTATCTTTTTTATCAACTTTTACAAATTTAAACAAACATGCATATACTTAGTGTTCATACACATATTATCATTCATTGTTAGATACAATTGACACTAGTTACAGTATTTGACATATACATATTTACATGCAAGCAGGAGCAATTTAAACTCATGCAGATGTAATTGATAGTAATATACCTGACTTTTTAATGTCTGTACATTGTCGATTTGTAAAGAGAGTTCTCCCTTAAATTTTGTTACCTCATGACTCAAACAATTCATCTTATGATCAGCCATGCTTAACAAATCAATGATTTTTGGTTCAACTGTGCTTAAATTTGGTAATGGAGTAGATTTAATTCCTGTTTTTGGCAGTGGTTCACTTTCTATAACTGGTCTTCGTAATGGAAAAATAGGACGTTTCTTAGAAGCTACAATTATAAAAGAAATAAAATTTGAAATGCAAAAATTTCTAAAAAATTTTTGAATTTTTTTTATAATTGTGAAGCCTACACAAAATTTCATCTAGAAACATTTATTATAATAAAAGTAAAATATTTTATCATTTACTAATAATTAAATTTCTTTTTCACACTGATAATATGTGTTAACCTAAATATTTAAGAATAATTATAAACATTTCAAAATATAAGAATAATTTACCCAATCCAACATTGCTGATAATCGGCTTTAAACATTTTCCTTGTAATTCCAAAATTCTCTTTGACTTATTAGCTGATTCAATCTCTAGTTCTTTGATTCTATGTAAATTACGAGAAGATGCTAGTTGAAGATCATTACATTCACGTTCTAATTTATATATTTCTTTCTTGGAATCCTTAATTTGCTTTTGATGATTTTCCTTTTCTTTTATCAAATCTAAGTGAAGCTGGTTACATTCTTGTACCAGCCTTACATTATCACATTTATAAGGATCAATTGTTGATTGCAACTGAGTGTGTGCCTATATGTTCAATGAAATTATTAAATTATATAAATATATAACAAAATCTATAACATGTAACTTGCTTTTTATTATCCTAAACATCTTTCATAATTTATTAGTTAATTATTATAATATGAATAGTATATTCATTGTTTTACATACAGGGTGTTTTAAAAATACATATTAAACATTCATAGTAATTCATAATATAAAAAAAAGATATAAATATTTATAATTAATTTAAATTCTATATTATTTAGATTACAGATAGTATAAAATTTGTAATTAAAATTAAAAGAAATACTTTTGATTTACAAACATACACACCTCAATATTTTCTTGAGCAATACTTTTAAAATGTTTCAAACTTTCTGTTGTTTGTATCAAATCAGCCAACAACTTCTCTATCAGAGGAAGTGCATCCAATGTAAGTGCTTGTTTATATCCTAAACTGTCTAAATGTTTACGTACAGTTCGATATCTTGTAGCTATATTATATTCATCTTCCATACTCATTTTTATAAATTTCGTAAACAATCTATTTTATATACTTTACTATTTCATATATTTATACCAAATATAAATTTTGTTACTTTATACTATTATCTATATTTCAAAAATATTTTTAAAATCCCTATTTTAAAACATAATTATATTTATTTAAGATTTATTATAAAATCATGTTTTACGTACATAATTAGTAAAAATAAATGTTTTTAGATATATTAATAATTAACTATGATATAACCACGATATTACAGCAGCATTTCAAAATACTTCATCAACTTAACAAATTCATTACAAAAAATTCTATTTTCACAATAATCATAGTATTTTTGTTATACACTACATTGTTTTCTATCAATTGCGCGAACAACATTGTCCATTATTGCACTTTTCATGGAACAAAAAACGTGTCATGTTACGTATAAACATTATTCAAAAGTGTTACCAACGTAACAATATATAATTCTTGTTATGAATACTTGCATGTATTTAAAAAAATCATAATACTAATTTAAATAATTAAGGATTTTTTACAAAATTAAATAAAAAAGTTCCTATAATATATTTTAAAACGTTCAAACAAGTTAGATACATAGAATATGATTTATTTACATTTGAATATAAAATAAAATACATACAGCCTAAACATGAATAAAATATATTAAAAAGAATCATAACAATTATATTAAATACGTGCGTATTATATAGATTTAATTTTTATGCGAACAATTCATATTTCAAATACACGAAAAACAAAAGAAATCTCAAAAAGTGGCGTAATATGTAAGGTCGAGTTGCGCATATCACTTGTTTATTCATGATTGAAGAATTATATAGAATGCAGAGCTCTGCAGAGGTTTGCATTGACTCTACATAGTGTATTATTTTCCTGTGCTTTGACAGTCGATTTAAATTTAAAAAATGATCGACACAGATATTTTTTAAACGTATTAAGATAATTGTAGGCAGCTTTCAAAGAAGATTCTACGTTATTTCGCTAAATATGAAATCTGAAATAAATTCAACTGACACATCGTGATATGATTAAATCATATGATTCGTAGTAATTTGCTATTGACAAAAGATACAGAAGTGGAATTAATGAAAATGAGTTCAATTAACTTGAATGTACCAAACACAGAACAAATTCTTTTACTTTTAGAAGACCTGTGTAATCTTTCCTATCCTGAAGTGCAACAAAAATTAAACAGATACGTGAGTAATACTGTCGTCGTTTTTACGTACAATTTTTCGCGGCACGCATGCTTCATTTTAAAAACGATACAATTGCTTATTACCGATGAATTTGGTGACAAAATTGTTTTTTCTGTAAAATATCTTTTTCTTAAGAAGTATGAATAAGATATTTATTTTATATATAAAAATAAATGTTACAACTATTTTCAGTATAAATTTATTGAAATATGCACGATATAAGAAATTACTGGTTCTATAAATAAATTTTAATTATATTTTTTAATATTATAGATACAAACTGCAACGAATACAGAACTGGTATTTCTTGTACCAATTATAGTAAAATCAGAAGAAATGGTAATTCATGTGATAGGAGAAAAAATTTTAGATAGAGAATTAAGGTTTCCTGTAAGTAGAAATTATTTTATATAAATTATAATAATGGAATTATTTACTTTATAAATATTCCATAGAATTATTATAAAAAATAAATTTATTAAATTATTAATTTTTTCATCAATAATAGAAGTTTTTAATGTTTTTTTAATTATCCTATTATATTTGATATATTTATGAAACTTATACATTTTAAATTTTGGGATATAGTAGACAATAGTTTAAAGAATTGCCCCATATTACAAATAGAGATTGCTTAGTAATGTCTAATCCTCTAGAATTCTTAGAAACGTACATAAAAGAAGCCATATAAAGAGGTATTATTGATATAACACTGAAAAACTTTTAAAATGAACTGTAAAAATGTGTTATCAATACCACTGATACAATATATCATTATTATTACTTTTGTAAATAAAATTATTATATCTATATATTTATTTATTTTATATTTTTTTTAGTGATTAAATGATATGATTTTTCTTTTATAAAATAATGCAATTAATTCATTAAAACTAAAAACTATTGCAAACTGTAAATATGATAAATTTTATAAAATTCTTATATAAGTAATAATAGTTAGAATTAAATTATATCAATTACATTAATAAACATTTTTTAATTTATTTAAGATGAAAATGAATATAATAACTTTTATTATAGTTAAATATATAGTTTAAATATAGTTTAAATTTAAGAATTTTAATAATATACATATGCTATATAAAGAATTTTAATAATGTTGGACTATTACTTATATAATTTATATTTTATTATTATCATTTGTATAATTTTAAGTAATTTATCTTTCAGGTATCAAATAATATTTTATATAAAACTGTACAAAATAAAAAACCAACTGCTATAGATATAACAATGCTAGATGAAGAATTATTACGTCATCTGCAGCCAGTATGTCCAATGTCAAATTCTTTTTTAACAATTCCTATACAACATCCTAAGCAGAATTACATAGCTTTGCTAGTTTCTTTAATTGATAATGATACCAAAAATGAAACTACATGTAAATGTGCAATAGTACAAGAATGTTTTAGGTAATTATTTTTCCTTATTATATAAAAAAGTAATTACTGCACTTTAAATATGTATAACATCTTTATGAACCATAGAAATTATAAATGATAAAAAATAATTTAAAAACTAGCAATATTTATCTTTACATCTTTATATATTTATCTTTAGATATATCTAGATATTTTTTTTTTAATATAGATTTTGCCTAGGATTTCTTCTAAATTCATTTACATGTCACGAAGAAATTCGATTGAAACACCAGTGTCAAAAGTTGCTTGCTGTTTCTAGAAAACTTTTTATACATTTGGGTAATATTATCATAACTAAAATAATTAGCATTTAAAAAATGATAGACTTATTATATCTTAAATATTTATAAATAGGAGACTTTTCTGATTTATTGCGAGAAATAATGGCAGAAGCTAGAAAACTAACAAATGCAGAACGCTGTTCGTTATTTTTATTAGATCCTGATCAACAAGATCTAGTTGCTAAAGTATTTGATGGTATTGCTATGAAAGAAGTAAGTTTATATTTCAAGTTCATATTTCTGTTACATTCAATAAATAAAATTATGAATGTAATTATTTCTAGTCTCTAAAGGAAATGCGAATACCAATAGGACAAGGTATAGCAGGTCATGTTGCAACTACTGGAAAATTACTTAATATTAGAAATGCATATGAACATCCTCTTTTTTATCGAGGTGTAGATGAAGTAACAGGCTTTAGAACTAGAAATATTTTATGTTTCCCAATTAGAGATGAAAATGAGATTGTTGGTAAGTAAAGATTATTATTTTACCTAAATTAAAACAAATGAAATTCTTAAAATTCAGTATTGTTAAATTACATTTTGAAAGAGAAAGAAATTATTTATAGCAGAATATATTGTAATTATAGGAGTTGCACAGCTTTGTAACAAAAAGGATGGATTATACTTTGATGTTTTTGATGAAGAGGTTGCAACAGCATTTAGTATTTATTGTGGTCTTTCTATAATGCATAGTATAGTTTACAAAAAAATGCAAGATGCTCAAGCAAGAAGTAAACTTAGCAATGAAGTAATGATGTATCATATGAAGGTAAAACTATCAAAATATATAACATTTTTTATTAACTTCTTATTTTAATAAAATATTATGTACATAGGTGGAAGAAGAAACTGTTCAAGCAGTATTAAGTTGTAAGGATGAACATAATATAAAAGACTTCAATAAATTTCAGTTTAGTCCAAGATGTGTACCTTATAAACATATGCCTTGTTATACAATCAAAATGTTTAATGATTTAGGTCTTATTAAGTATTGGAAACTAAAGATTTCAACTTTAGCAAGGTAATAAAAGTTTAAAAATATTGTGTAAACAAAAAATATTAATTCATTTAAATGCTACAGGTTTATATTATATGTAAAAAAAAGGTACAGAGATGCACCATATCATAACTGGATACATGCATTTTCTGTGACACATTTTGCATACCTATTAATAAAAAATTTAGATCTTATTAATGAGAATTATATGACCCATTTAGAAGCTTTAGTTTTTCTAGTGTCTTGTTTGTGTCATGATATAGATCACAGAGGAACAAACAATTCATTTCAAACTAAAAGTTCTACAGTTTTAGCTAGTCTTTATAGTTCTGAGGGTTCTGTAATGGAGGTAAATTATTTTCAAAAACAAAATTATAAAATAAATTATATTATATTATATTATTCACTATTTTCTCATTTAACAGAGACATCATTTGGCACAGACTATGTGTATTTTAAATACAGAAGGTTGTAATATATTTGAGAACTTCAACAGTGAGGAGTACATTGAAGCATTAGATCTACTGAAAAACAATATACTTGCAACTGATCTAGCATCTCATTTCCGAACAATGGAAGAACAAGAAAAAATGATTAGAAATAAATTTGATAGAAATGACCCTGAACAAAGGAAGTTATTCTTCAATATGCTTATGACGTGTTGTGACCTTAGTGATCAGACTAAACATTGGAAAGTTTCTAAAAAAACTGCAGTAAGTAAGATTCTGAATTTAAATGAATTCTCTAAAAAAATATGCATTTTACATGCTTTCTTTCTTTGATCTTATATTAGGAAAAAATTTATGACGAATTTTTTTCACAAGGAGATTTAGAGAAAAGTATGGGTAGTTCTCCCATAGAAATGATGGATAGAGAACGTGCATCTATACCAGACCTTCAAGTTCAATTTATTACAAATATAGTTCTTCCACTTTATATGTAAGTATACATCTAAAGAAAGACTTTGTCTGGGACATTTTTATTTATAATAAACATTAGAAGTGAGAAAAATAAAAATAGAAATTTATTTTTCATAATAAATATAATTAGAAGCATAATTTAAAAAAAGAACAATACTTTAATGAATGATACATTTTTTTACTTCAAGAAGACAGTTATTAAGAAAAGTTTTTAAAATAATACTAGCACATAGGCTATTTTCCTTGTTTAGTTATTTTTATTCTATATTATTTTCTTTATTATTTTCTTTCTTAGTAATCTTTCTACATTATTTCCGGTGATACACCAACTTGTTGAAGTGCTGAAAGAAAATCGAGCTTTATGGGAAGAATCTAAAAGTATATTCCAAAAATATATGAAAACCGGAATGAAAGGTATTGATATCCTATTATTATCTACCTTTGAGGAAGAAGTATTACAACTTTATACTCAAGGCAATAAAAATATTTCAAGAAATTCTACTATTAAGTTAAACGAAACTATAAATAATAGTACATATACAATATAAGAATAGGTATTTTTACCTATAAATACAAAAATTGTTAAAACATATAAAACATAACATTCTTTAAATTCAAAAGCAATAGATGGCCTATTGATTACTAAATATATTAATGTTGACAAAAATTTGTTTCTTATAAGAGCGCTGGCGTTCTAAAATTATTTATTACAAATTTAATGTATATTGAAGTGTTATTTATGTTTATATTTTGCGATAGGAGATGTGATAGGAGATGCGATAGGAGGTGCGATAGGAGGTGCGCACACACGTTCGTGTCCGTGCGTGTTGTTATAAATTACAAATATTTTATTTCACAATGATATATGTTCCTTAAATATGTGCTTATTAAACACTTGCCAAGTATTTATTTGTGATATAATACTTAAGATTTAAATTAGAATTTATAGTAGTATATTTTATAAAAATATGAACAGTTTGTGTAGTTTATAACATGTATAAATTTATAAGGAAAATTTGTGCAATTTAAGAAAGTTTATATTTTGTATGATTTGTATGATAATAATCGATTAATATAGTAATATTTTTATTGCAAAATTATAATTAAACTAAAACAATCTGTACATATTTATTATATGTTGTACAAATTTGTGTTTCAAAATTCATACTTTTCATTCTGCAAAATCTATTTTCTTAAATGCTGAAAATAATATTATATAAATACTGTTTATTTACAAATTGCGCCAATTCTTTTCAACTTAATAATAGATTCTGAATTTTACATTTTGTAAAAACTAATATTTATTTTTTTAATTTAATTTTAACAGTATACGTATAATTAAAGTTAATGAATTAGTTTTTGTAAAAAAGTCTTAGCAAAATTTTTAATTACATAAAGATAAGATAATTTATAAAAAATACATTAATGTTTGTATTAGAAATTGACAAAATAATTTATAAAAATTGTAAATTTTACATATGTATTAAATTTAATTAGCATAACTAATAATAAATACACCTTTCTACAAGTAATTCATTAGATGAAGTATAATTATATAATATTATCATATTATAATTATATTAAATTCAAATTATATTATATAACTCAATATTACTGGTACATTTTAAACATATAATCAAATAAAAACTCATACTAAGTTAGAGTTAGGTTAGAGTTAAAGATACATACATAAATGAAGATTACTTAACTTGTATAGCTTAAAAATTTCAAATTTTAAATTTCAAATTATCCAATATAATTTACTAGAGTCTTAAATAATAATTCACATAATACATTTTTGTGTTACATAACAACCTATTTATAAATATATTTCACATATAAAAGTACTTACAAATATCAATATATATAATAATCATAAAATTTAAAACGTTAAATAATGTCATTATATTATTTGGTAAATTGATAAATACATTGAAATTAGAATATTATGTTTTTGGTTCTAATATTTAATATTCTTTTGTTATTATTTAATAATTTCAATATTTTATTAGAAGTAGAAAATTAATCAAATAAACAAAATGGTAATATTAAATATGGCACTAAATAAACTCATGCTTAATACAGTGAGTCACAAAATTATTGGCATACGCAGAAATTAGTAAGAATATGAAGGGTAAAAAAAATAATCAAATACTTTTTAATCCTTTTTTGTTTACAAAACATAATGTTTAGAACATAAATCCCCAACATTATGAAAAACTTAATAATATCGCAATTTATAGTTATAAAAAGTGAAACGAAACGACTTCATGCATCAATTGTCGTCACAAAATTATTGGCACACTTAACATATTCTACGAAAAACGATTATTAATGCCTATTCCGATACTCTTCTTTTCTTCACTATTATTGAGGCTCAATATAAAATATTATAACAGTCAGTTAACAACCAAGTGAGGAATTAAAATTTAATAAAAGAAATATTTGAATACACGTTCTACTATGGCGAGAAAAGGTAAAGAAACTAACTTAGATATAAGAAATTTAATAATTCATCACTGGAAAATTGGAAAATCATATAGAGAAATTCGAAATATCGTAAAGAAAAGTTTTTCAATCGTCCGAAATATTATTAAAAGGTTTGAAAATGAAGGTAGAATTGAAAATGCACCTGGATGTGGGAGGAAAAAAGTTTCAAATTCATTAGAAGAACGTTTTATTGTTCGAAATGTGAAACAAAATCCAAGAATCAGTGCCCCAAAAATTACCAGCATTTTTGTAATAAAACTGTTTCTAATGAAGCAGTCCATAAAATATTGCGGAAGTATTCATACAATGGACGCACATCTAGAAGGAAACCATACGTTACTGCAGCAAATCGAAAAAAAGTTTGGATTTTGCAAAAAAATTTATTTTAAAATCTGGAGAATTTTGGAGAGATATTATATTTTGTGACGAGAGTAAATTAAATATTTGTGGATGGTCATACGAAAGTATGGCAAAAACCAAACGAAGAAATAGATCCTAAAAATATTCGCTCAACAGTCAAATATAGTAGTGGTCATATTATGGTTTGGGGATATATCAATTACTACAGGGCAGGAATTAAAAATTTATAAAATAAAAACAATAAATAAAATGGGATATTTAAACATACTAAAGAATAATTTAAAGCAAAGTGCCCAAAAATTGGGAATTCTTGAAAGATTTCAATTATATCAAGATAATAACTCCAAACACAAATCGAAAATTATTCAAGAGTGGTTGTTATACTACTGTTCAAAGATCATAGATACACCACCTCAGTCAGTCGATCTAAATCCCCATTGAGATGATATGAGACAGATTAGATAAAAAGATATGAAAGGATTCAATAACTAATAAAGTGGAATTACAAAGTAGATCAGAACAGGAATGAGATAATATAGAGGAAGAATATTTAAGAAAACTTATAGAATCAATGGCAAAGCGTGTTTCTGAAGTGATGAAACAAAAAGGATACTCTACAAAATATTAACATTGATAAAATTATTAATCTTTGTAACGTGTGCCAATAATTTTGTGACGGCAATTGATGCATGAAATCGTTTCATTTCATTTCTTTTATAACTATAAGAAATGATATTATTATCTTTTTCATAGTATTGTGCGTTTGTGGTTTAAACTTTATGTATTTCAAATAAAAGGCTCGATAAATCTTTTATTACTTCTTTTATCCTTCATATTCCTCTCACTTTCTGCGTGTGCCAATAATTTTGTAACTCATTGTATCTCTATTTTTACTAATAGTATATTGCAATCATAAACAAATATAGTATTACTGATTTTTTTATGATAAGAAGTGGAAAAGGAAATCATACATACGTAATATTATGATGTTAGAGCGTCAATTAAAGTCTTAATATTCTAAAAATTATCAATTTCCAAATTGATGTTTGTTCAACCAATCAGATAGCATGGAATGTAATTTAAACTACAGAGAAAAATGGCGCGGCCGGGAGAATAGATGGCGTTAAATGCTGAAATTCAAATTAAACTGAAAAGTCGTTATGTACTCATGAGGCAAAACGTGCATCATCCTGCCTATGACACGAAATGGAGATTGTTGTTCAAGTTTTCCTTTGTTTCGTGTATTTTATCATTGAAAGTCAGTAATTTGTGTGACTTATTTATTTTTGTCATAAAAGTTTATATGTACAATTTCTTAGTTTATATGCAAATGTAAAAGGTAAGCAAATATATTAATAAATGCACCTGAATCACTTAATTCATTTCTTTTCAAGTATGTTGTATTTTTCATTAGAAAACTTTGATGTTTATTTAATATAATAATAGATACATATATTGATCAATTTCAATGTAATTGTAAATTCAATTATAAATTTAGTTAAACTGATAAGAAAAAAATTATCAAAAAAATACATATAATTAAATCAAATACATTTTTTAATTATTTTATCATTTCTTTACTATTTTACATAAATATTTTTTCTTGTGAAAAGTAATCTTTATATATTATTTTTTTCTTAAAATAATATGAACAAGCAGTATATTTCTACTAATTTTTATATATTGTCATAATTTCAATCATAGTTTATATTATTATTCTATAATGCTTTATTAAATAATGGTATATATGTATTATTAAAAAATGTAATAAGCTTTTGGTTTATATTTTTAATACTTAAAATACTTTAAACAGTTACAGATTTTAAACATGGGTACTAGGTCAAAAGATAGAATTAAAGCAATGATTGCAACAGATATTTTAAATATTTATAATCATTCCAATCAAGTTAAGAAATCTATTAATGATAATTTACAAGATACTCTGGATTATTTCCATAGTTTAATTGCTCAAATACGACAATCAACTTCTGGACCTTTAATTACAAAGACACCAAAGGTTTTGAAAAAAAAAGTCATTCAACGTATTGAGACTATTCCTGAAAATGACATTATCAATACTGATGATGCAACAGTAAATTCTTTTGTTATACATGATAAAACAGAAAATAAAGATATACAAAATGAAAATGAGTGTAGCACAATTGGTCGAACTAAAAGGGCAGCTTCAAGAAAAGCTGCAAATAACATTAAAAAACTACAATCAATGTCACTTTCAAGTAAATTACGAAGACCATCGAACTCAAGTGAAGACGTTAATACAAATGTTTGTATATACTTTTTCATATAGTGAAACCTAACATTGATACTTATATGTTGTGTAATAATATGTAATTAATACATTAAATTTTATTGCTTAATGTACATAAATTGTTTCTCAATATTTTTAAGTATCTTTTAAACTTTTAGAAAAAACGTGGAAGCCGAACTAAAAGAAAGATGTCTCCTAAAAGTAGCTCAGATGAAGACACTACACAAGGTCATAGAAAACATAGTAAAATAGAAGAAAGAGTTTTTAATGAAACTATATCAAAGAAAGCAACAGATATAAATAAACAACAATCAGAAAATTATTCTTCTATAATAGAAGATACAATACAACAAGAAAAGATTGAATCATCAAAATCTTCAATGACAACAAGGAATAGTAGAAAAAGAACTTTTTCACAGAGTGAGAACGCGAAGAGTAAAAAGTCTAATATTATTGATGACACTGTTATTGCACCAATAGGAAATGATATTGAAGAACCTTCAATGTATGAGGATGCAATTGGAAAACCTACTCCTATTATGAATTCCACAATGAATTTCAATTCTACTTTTACCATGCAAAAAATAATGAATGCTACTGTAGTTTTAGAACCTTTGCCAGCAATGGCACTAAATGAAACTGTAACAATTAACAAAAATTCAACTAATAGTATAAGAAAAAGTAATGGAGAGAAAACATTTGAAGTAAAGACTGAAGTTAAATCTTCCAAAGGATCCAAGTATACATCACATTCCTCAGTGACCCTGCAGGACAGGATGCAACAGCTAAAAGAAGCCATGGCAAATAAAGAGTTTGATGAATTATTTACAGAGGATGAATCATCACCTGAAGTGAAAAAACCCAAAGCAAACATTAAAAAATCAGAAATTAGGAAACAACAAAAGCAGGTAATCAAGTCTGCATCATCGAGTGAGGATGTAATACTTAACACCTCAGCAAAACCAACTTTAAAGGAAATGAATACAGTCACAGGATTCCAGGAAGGAAAAAGCATGTATAAGACGAATGCTTTATTCAGTCCGTATGCCAAGGAATCAGTAAAAAAACGAGTTGAGGCATTTGAGCAGGCAGGCATGAATAGTCCAAAGATTACTGTTGACATTGATGTACCTATTCGAATAACAAGGACAAAAACACGTGCTAGAGCTGCTGCACAACAAGAAATTCCAGAAAATACAGTCATTGCAGAAAAGACAGTTGCTCATAAATTAGCACGGAAATCACTTGCAAAAGCCAAGAAAATTTCATTAGCAAAGCAAAATAAGAATGTTGATGAACATAAAGAGGTATTTAAATCTAAATATTGTAAGACGACATTATTAGATAAACATTATTTGCAATACTTATTATAAAAAATATTAAAAAATATTAGTTATATAACAATCCCATTGCCAATTACAAATTTGATGACATTTTCAAAATTGTTTTTAGAATAAATTGCATTCCACACAAAAAGCTAATAAAGTAATTCCTATTGAGAAGGTAAACTGCAAGCAGCAACAAAAGACAACTCCATTAGGCAAGACAAGAACTCAATTACCAATGTCTGTTAATCGTATTCCACACACTCCATCAAATCAAATTAATGTAAATGTAAGAATTTCTTTATCTTTATTGAAGTAGTATTTAGTGTAATAACTTTTTAGAAAGTTTAATATTTTTATTTTAGCATAATAAGGCTTCAAGTACAACACGTACAAATATTATTACATCAGTGGAATCTTTAATCCAAGCTCCAAAATCTGTCACTAAGCGTAATTCCCTAGACAAAACAGATGATAAAAGAAGAAAATTGAACGATGAGGATGCAAAAAAGAAACGAGAAGAAACATTAAGGCTTATGACGGAAGAAAAAAGGAGGTAAAATAATATTAATGAATACATTGTTCCTTATCCCATTTTAAATTATTTTGTGTTATTAAAAATATATATGAAATATCTTATATAAAGGAAAAGGCAAGAAAAAGAATTAAGAAATAAATTAGCCAGAGAAGCAAAAGAAAAACTGGATATGGAAAAACGACAAAAAGCTGAGAAAGAAAGAGAAGAAAAAGCACGTTTAGCACAACAAATGCAAGAGAAACAACGCGAAGAAATGGAAAAGAAACGTTTAGCTCAGTTACAACGAGCTCAGGTATAAGCTTAATAACTATTGAAAAAATAAATATATATAAAAAAAGATAATAAAACTAATTTGCACTGACTTGTAATTTAGAAAATTAAATTGCATTTGTAACAATTTGTAGGAAAAAGAAGAAAAAAGAAAACAAGAAGAACAACAGCGTTTGCAGCGTTTACAAGAACAAGAAGAAGCAGAGCGTATATTGGCTGAACAAAGACGTCGGGAACAGGAAGCTGAAAGGCGAAAAGAACTCGAAGTGAGAGCTCAACATCAAGCGGCAGCTGAAGCGATGAAAGCTAAACACAATATGCTTATGACCCAAGTAAGACCATAAATATTGATGAGGTGTAATTTTATTATGAAAATACAATTTATTATTAATGTAATCTTAGGCAAAATATGAATCGAAGCAACATGGTCCAACGACTTATATTTTGGATAGTGAACCTGATGATGATGAATCGGACGATGAATCCAGTCCAAAACATGTGATCCCATACTGGGCACAATGTAAGTCTGCTTTTAATCTCTTTATAGGTATAAAACTTTGTACCTATTAGTATAAAGTAATAATCATTGCTGTTATATCTTACATTATAAATTTTTAACTTATTTTCATTATTAATAGATATTTACATTATTAATATAGTTAAATGTAATTTAACGAATAAAAAATATATTCGCTTCCATAATAATAAGCAGGTGAAACAAACAAATTTTTTTCATGTATTTTTTATATAAATGGGTTGACAAACATTGTAATACATAAAGTACTTGAATTCTTATTAATTTTAGCTCACGTGCGTAAAGCTCAACTTGCAATACAACGATACATTCCAGAGAGAGCAGTTTATAAATTTTTCGACACCAGAAAGTGTACACCAGACTTAACTCAGTTGTTCCAAGGTATAGATAGGAGTAGATTGAAGCGTACGTCCAGTGCAATCTGGAAAACACCCCCACGTTATTCCATGATGGAAATCGAATAAAAGGTATAGTTTGTTAAATTAAATGTTGTTGCTTTCATATTGTGCCTTAGAACAAGAGTATTTGTCATAACCTACGTATGTGATACAAAAATAATATTACATCATAACTATCATTGAAAAATATATTCCTTTTTGACACAGTAATGAATGTACGACTACTCCACCCTTTATTTTTTAAAATTATTGACGAGCATATGTCATTTTTCCCATACCAATTGTTACGATTATTTCTTATTTAGGTGTATCGTTTTTATTGCACTAAAATTGAGTTGCACTAAAAAAGTACAACATTAATGAAACACTGCTTTTGATCTTGATAAAAAATTTCAAAATGGTGTACCATTCGTTTATATCCCCTTTTATATGTGTAGTGATTTTATGACTACGAATACGTTTTTTTTACTAAAAAGTTATTATGATTAATTTCAGTAATACATTCAATCTTCTTTATATATAAAGATAAATTATTATTAATAGTAATTGAAGCAAATGATTAAACTGATATATGTATATTGGATTATATCAATTCAACAAACACTGGTTATGTAGCTTACGTTAATTCTTTTTATCCATGCAAAAGTGCTGGTAATTTTGGTGTTTGAATAATTTCCAAAGGTCCTAATTTTAAGTGCGTGTATATAGGTATCTGTAATATTGTTTTCGTTTAATTACATGTAATGTTTAATCATTTTTAATAATTGCTTTTGTGGTAGGAAAGATAACATTAAGTCTAAAGATACTTACATATGGTAAAGAATTGTCTAAAACTGGATAATCTGATAAAAGCATTAACACTGATCTATCCATTACAGCAATAGTTAGTCTTCTACCATCTATCATGGTGTGCTCTGGTACAGAAATCTTTTTCAAGATTTTCAGTGTATCACTTTCAAAGTCAGATTCTACTTGTTTGATACCACCTTTAAAAACCTTTTTACATTTATATAACAATGTAACTTAATAATTGGATTTTCTTTCTAATTTGATAATTCATTTGTTACAAGAAAAATTAATTACTTTCAATGTAGTAGAACTAGCAACTCTTTCAATATCAGGCGGAAGTCTGTAATCTTTAAAATATTGGTATGTTGGAATTGTTGGTAAAATCGGTGACCAAGATTTGGAAGTTCCAAAGGTTGAAATATAACGTCCGCCAAATGTCCATAAACGCACTGAATGATCTGTACTACCACTTAAAATTAAAAAAAAAAAAAAAAAAAAAAAAAAAAAAAAAAAAAAAAATTTTTTTAGATAGATAGATAGATAGATAGATAGATAGATAGATAGATAGATAGATAGATAGATAGATAGATAGATAGATAGATAGATAGATAGATAGATAGATAGATAGATAGATAGATAGATAGATAGATAGATAGATAGATAGATAGATAGATAGATAGATAGATAGATAGATAGATAGATAGATAGATAGATAGATAGATAGATAGATAGATAGATAGATAGATAGATAGATAGATAGATAGATAGATAGATAGATAGATAGATAGATAGATAGATAGATAGATAGATATATAAGTAAGTTTAAAGTTTATAAAATAATAAACATTATATTAAATTTATTACCTAATAATAATGTGTGCATCTGGAATTATTTGAACAGAGACAATAGGTTTTAAATGTCCACGAATGGATGCAAGTAAAAGTGGTAAAGACTGATCTCTCACAGCTCTTTTTGCTCTGCCAATAACTTTTTCTTTCCATAAAAATGGAAATTCTAATCGTAAAAGTGGCATGCATATCTTAGAAGGATTTGGCACTAAATAGTTTGCAAGGTACCAAACTTTAATGTATCCAGCTGTATGTCCTAAATTGTTACAAATGAACTTATTCTCCAATTATTTTCTGATTTAACTTTTATTTTATATTAAACTTTTTGTCATAAAAAAATTACATGCAAAAGGTAATTTCATAACTGATAAATTATTTTGTAAGAATTAAATGCATACATTTTTTTACCTGTTACAAGGAAGTGATTTTTAGGATCAGTTGCTAATGCCAATGCACAATCATGAACAGTATGAATAACTGAGAAAGCTTGTAAAAATCCACCAGCAGGATGATGAGTCCATACTTGAATTAGTCCTGAGTCAAGAGAAACTAATAAAGTTCCAACATCAGACCTAACTGGTCGGGCATTTAAAAATATCATTGCTCGAACAGCAACAATTCTTGTAATATTCAATGCAGACTTTTGATGTTTACAAGCTGTCTGATATTGACTAGAAATGAACAATTACAATTGTAATTCAACAGCTTTTACGAAAGTATAATCGCGATATAGAGAATACCTCTGTTTAGAAATAAATTTTTTCATAATTTTCTCAGGTTTACTTATTTCAATTTTTTTCTCATCTTGATATCTTATGCTAAATCTATGTAACAGTAATAAATTAATATTTGATTTTTTACAATACATTATTTTATTAATCAAAACTTAATTAGATAGGTTTCATTTTAACATTTTCCATAGTATTTTGAATATTACCTTGACATTGGTTCATTTACTTTATATTTTCGATATGGTTGACCTGTTTCTAATCTCCAGAGTATTATTTCTCCATTAAAAGTTGCTGTAGCCAATACTTGTGGATACCACATGGCCGAACAAAGAATATCATCAGTATGTCTTATTCCCCAATTTTTTTTATATATGTCTGTATCGGAAGTTGCAAATTCTACAACTTGACGATTCCAACTACTGCATAAAATTCGATTTTCTAGCCAAATTAAACTTGTTACTTCACTATATATAATAAGAAAATATATACGAAAGATATTTAGATATTATTAGGAAAGCTGTATATAAAATTTAATGATTATTAGGAAAACTGTTGTTTTTAATGTGAATATGCGTAAAACAGTATAGATGTATACCACTGAGTTTCAAGTGCCATGTTTCGTAAACAAGTACCAGTATTAAAATTCCACATTTTTAATGTTCCATCACGAGCACCTGTCACGAGTAAGTGTTCAGATTCATCAAAACAAGCAGCAGTGATTTCGATGTCGTGAAATTGACCATACAGGAATCTACTGTGTGCATGTGTTACTAAATAAAGACGATTTCCAAGCCATGGATCCCAAATTATTATACAAGAATCTAATCCAGTTGAAACTATCTAAGATTATAAATAATTCGATAAAATTGATTCTTGATGTATAGAATAAAGATCACAAAATATTAAAACTACCACTTTGTAGAGATGATTGTATAAAACACAGCTGACAGATTTTGTATGTGTAAATCCATCAGATATTTCTTCGTTGATCAAAGGATCACAAACAATTACGGCAATTATTGAACTAGCAATAATCATTTTGCGATTTAATATATTATACACTATAGTCATTGATATATGTTCACCTAATTCGCTAGGGAGGCCATTGTAAGTCTAAATAAAGTAATTTATAATTATAGATTCTATATAATGATTTAATTATCATTGTTTTACTTTTTTATATATAGTATTAATTAAGAAAATATTCTGTAGAATATGCATATATAGTGCACTTTCAAAGTATTTATACCTTCTGAATATATGGTTAAAATTAATTGTTTCATTTTTATGTAATCTTTGTAAATCATCCAAATTCATTATTAATAAAAATAAAATTTTCATTAAACAAAGATATGCTTTTTTATACTGTTTAAGTAAGTTAAATGTAAAAGAAGATCGAGTATCTGAAACTCAGTATAAGTGACATATTATTTTTATTAATTCCTTTTTTCAAAAAATACCATTATATTTACTTCATAATAAATAGCAGTTATATAAACTTATCGAGTAAGAAGGTGTGAATACTTTATGTTTTACGATGTGTATTAAAATTATTATTATTAAAACCTGGATACAAGATTGAGCTAATACATTCCACACCTTGATACATCGATCTTTCGAAAGAGAGTATACGCGTTTACCAGCATCTTGAACAATTAAGGCACATATAGCTGCACGATGACCTTGAAAAATATTACTTGGTCTTCTCGTTACAAAAGGATTCCAAACCCGAACTATGCAATCTGGTCCACCAGTTACTAATAGTTGACCCTCTAATTAATTACATATTTAAGAAATTTAATGTATATGCGAATAAATAAATGACGTAAATAAATAAATCCTAGAAGAAATACCTTCGCAAAAAGTAAAGCATGATATACCCATGTTAATTTTAAACCTGTATTGAGTTCTAGCTCCAGTAAGATCACTGAATAACAAAGAACAATTGCTACATCTACTACTGGACATAAAAGCCCTTAAACTTTCGTAATAAGCTACTTGTTTCACCCAGTCTGTATGTACATTTCTAAATTCTAAAATTTTCATTCCCTTCAGTTCACCCTGTAATACAAATTACAATATATTAAAATATATAAATTTCTATAGAGGGTACAAGAGATCTTAAAAATAATTTGAAAATTTTTGTCGAATTTTCAAAAGTATTTAATGACACAAAAATATCGAGATTTTTGAGATTTCAATACCTGACATATTTCGGAACGAATGTAATTTTTATGTTATAAAATACTATCAAAATCTAGATCTAAATTTCAGTAAAGCCAATAATAATGGCAAAATTCTTAAGATAACTTATTTGCCTTAAGAATAGATTCATAGCGAATAAATAACGTATCACGTTGGGGCTCATGTTTAAATGGTCCCCTTTCCATTGGATTGAAAGACATTACATTAACAGATCCATTCATATCACCAAGTACAATATACGAATCTTCTTTGATGTTTTTACTGAAGTAATAATCCATACAAATGACTGCACTCTCCAAGCCCGATATCTAATCATAAAGTATCTAATACAAATGATTTTATTTCAATCGAAATCAATATTTGTTTAAAAAATAAAATCAACCATTATTCGAAGATCAAACTTTTTTGCCACGGTGTCATAAAACCTTAAATCACACTCAGTGGAACTTGTACATACTACCTGTACGTCAGGCATTACTATCATATCGGTTATTAAAGTTTGTTGTACTTTCAAACACGCTGCAAAGATAGATACGAAAATAAAGACAGGTATATGAAAATATACAAAATAAAATTACTAACGATTTACAGATTGTGCGCTACGTTCATACTCTAAATCCAAAGACCAGTAATTTATAATTCCCTCCTTAGTCACGGTTAAATAAGATCCTCTGTGAAAGCTTGCAGTTCTATCCTGCAGATATGCAGTTAAAGTCATAACCAAAAAATATATGTCGTTATCAAGTAAATTAAAAAGCATTTTTAAATAAAATATTTCGTATTTTATAGCCAAATAAGCTTTCTTGTAAATTAGTATTAGTATCTAAAGTTTGATTTGAAGCTTTTTGTAAATATATTAAGTATAGATATGTTTATACAGGTAAAACTTCCGGGCAGAACATAATTTTGTGTATAGCCGTTCGATGGTGTGATTTTAAAATTTGAGGAGCGCCAGTTATCGGAAGTTTTAATATTTGCCACTGTAATGTAGTATCTTTTTTTTGAAATTCCACTAGTAAATAAGAGATAAATTCGTTCCATGTAACATTTCCATCTCTCTTCGAGTTCATCTACAATTAATGAATAGAAAGTAAAAAATTATAAATAATAAAAAAAATAGAAAAATAATGAATCTACATTATTACTTTTTTAAATAAAACTTTAAATTCATCTTGTAGCATTTTAATATGCAATATACTTTTAAATGCGTCGTATAATTGGGACATATTCATTTCTTCATTTGGTGAAATCTGTATATTGATAATGGAATATCAACAATTACTATACCAATCGTTTAAATATAGAAATACCAATTTTAAAAATGTAATTTCTTCGTATTATAATTGTTATATTCTAAACATTATTTCATCTAAAATTGCTTAAAAATATTTAATCCTTTAAAATCGGAAGTACCAAAAATGCTTCGTGTAGTTGAATTAAGGATTCTTCCGTGCATTGTTCTTCTATACTTTTCTTGTTAAAAAAATCGTCGAAAGCATTTTGAATGCTAAATGAAAAAAATTATTATATGTATGTAATACGATAAGAAGTTAATTTTAAGAAATATTTTACCAACCTGTCATTATTATTAAAATACTTCATTTTTATAATTATACAAATTATAGTATTCACTATAATTTTGATTACAAATTGTATATAGTATAAATAAAAACAACATAGAAAACAAATAGATTAGTTTTCTTCGTCAAATTATGACATATGTATATAAAACGAACTAAATTTATAAGATAGTGCTTTGTTATTTTTAGAACCGTATTCATTTATATAAAAAATATACTATTATTTAAAAATATAACCTTTGTTTGTATGAATGTACGGAATAAAAATTATTCTTCAAATGTACGACGATAGTATAAATTACCCAAAATGACAGGAAAAACAAAAATATAACATAAAATAATTCAGTACAAAAATGTTCTTAATAAATTGATTTTTATTTGACTAAAATTCATTATCAGTTTATGCGAATTTTATTTACATAAAATATAGAAGTATATGTACTTTTATTTCCTGATCTGTACATAGGGTTATAAGTGAGATAATCAATATCTTCTTGCATGGGTAATTCATTTATCTCTAGTGTATAGTTAGTTATGTGTAAGTACAATGGCATGATTTACTAAAATATATTTTTTCCTTACAATTTAATAAAAATTTGCATAATTTTTATTAAGCATTTTATTAAATTATGGAGTTGTTTAAAGCTTTAAGTCTATTTAGTCAAGGAAAATATGAAGACTGTGCAACAATATGTACAAATTTATTAAAAAAAAATCCTCTTGATCAGGTATAAATAAATTTTTTTAAATTTGAAATAATAATTTGTATCTTCATAGGAACATGATGTTTTTCATTGTAGGCTGTATGGGTCTTAAAAATGCGTGCTTTGACATTACAAGTATATGTAGATGATATAGAAGGAGAAGAAGAAGGAATTGCTGAAAGTTTATTAGATAATTATACAATATCGACTATGCCTAGACCAGGAACATCCTTAAAATATCCTGGTACTTCTTGTACAGGGCAACATCTTCGACCCAAAACACAATCAGGTTTATTTTTGAAAATTCAAAATGATTTAGATAATCAAAAACAATTGTAATTTAAAAACATGATATGCTTTAAAGGTAGACCACTTACTGGTGTTGTACGACCAGCTACCCAATCTGCTATGTCTCAATCAATTGAACAAACTTTAAGAACACCTAGGACTGCTATGACTGCTAGACCAATTACTGCAAGTTCTAGTCGCAATGTTAGGTATAATCAACATTTACATTGATAAATAATATGATTTTAATTAAATTTGTTATTACACTTATATGTTCAAAATTAATAAAGATATTTTACATAGATTAGGCACAGCATCTATGTTAACAGAAGCAGGTGGACCTTTTATACAATTATCACGATTGAATATTTCTAAGTACGCTAATCAATCAAGTATTGCTAAACCATTATTTGAGTACATATATTATCATGAACATGATGTAAGATATGTGAGTAAATATACATGTATCATTCAATATTTATAATTATTAAAAAACATTAATGTTTACTACAATTGTACTAATTGTTACAACACTATAGGCACTAGATCTGGCAGTACAAGCAACGCAAGTTTGTCAGTACAAAGATTGGTGGTGGAAAGTACAACTTGGAAAATGTTATTATAGTTTAGGATTGGTCAGAGATGCAGAACAACAATTTAAATCAGCACTGAAAGATTCTAAAACTATTGAAGTAATTTTGAGACTAATTAGAGTTTATGTTAGACTTGACCAACCACTAGCAGCTTTAGATACATGTAAAAAAGGTCTTGAATATTTTTCTAATGATGTGAATATTCTTACCGAAATGGGACGCATATTCGATGGACTCAATAATATGAGCATGTCGTTGAAATACTACAAAATAATTGCTCAGGAAGACGCTTCCAATACAGAAGCAATAGCTAGCATTGGAATACATCATTTTTATAATGACCAACCTGAATTAGCTTTGCGATATTATAGGTAAATATAAATATAGATATAATAAGTACGAATAATTAAAAATATAATTTTATTTGTTAAAATAGACGATTGTTACAAATGGGAGTGTATAATGCCGAATTATTTAATAATCTTGGACTATGTTGTTTTTATGCTCAACAGTATGATCATGTTATATCTTGTTTTGAGAGAGCAATTAGTCTTTCTACCGATGAAAATATGGCAGATATATGGTATAACATTTCTCACATTGCTCTTGTATGTATACAGCTTTTATTAATCTTGATTAAAAAATTAATTTTGATTAAAAATTTGTAAGTAATTAACTATTTTTTATACAAAATTTGTTACTGATTAAGAAGTATTGAAAAATATCTCAACTTTAGACCATAGGTGACATAACAATGGCAGAAGAATGTCTAAAATTAGCTATTGTTAGCGACAACAGACATGCTTTAGCATACAATAACCTTGGAATCATACAAATACGAAATGGAAATATAACAGCAGCGAGGACGTATTTTCATGCTGCTGCCAACATTGCTAACTTTGTTTATGAGCCTCATTTTAATAGTGCTTATTTAGCTTACAAGGTATTATAATTGTATATTATATTATATTTTTATATAGTATCATATTATTGTTCTAAACATTTTTTAGGTTGGTGATCTTCAAACAAGTTATATTGCTATACAAAAGTCTTTAAATGCATATCCTAATCACTGTGATAGTAAAACCCTTCTAAATAAATTAGAAAGGTATTTTTCACATACATAAATAGAAAAGAATAGAATTTATTCATATCATGTAAAATTTTATTGTTGTTTGATTTCAATTTTACATCTAACATTATGTACATAATATGTATGTGTAAAAAGTACAAATCATATGGTCTTGATACTGTTTGGTGTCCTTAATATGTTAAATGACTAACAAATAAATGAACATTTGAATAGGAATGTCTGATTGTAATAAAGACAGTTGATAATAATTATCATATTTCATCAAACTGTACATTATGCACACTGAATGATAGTTTAGAACAAATGAAGTAAAAATTGTTTTTTATGTCTCATTATTATTTTTGTTCATCAAGATAGTTTCTCGTCCTATTTTGTATATGTATAAATATATAACAATCTGGTAATAATTTACTTAAGTATTATTCATTATTTTATGCTTACATTAATATGATTTGTATGAATAATTACATATAATTATAATTGACATACAAACTTATGATTTTCTAAAATGCATATTAATAAATAACAAACGCATCTACAATAACTTTTATCTACAAATCTTGACACATACCATATACTTGAATTTTACAAATTTCGAAGTATGATGTAAGCAATACTTTATCCGATTTTTAATTTCTTTTTTACTTTGTGCACAAATATGGAGCAATGTACAATCTTTTTATTGTACTCGACTTACGTTTTATTTTATGTAGTATGAGATATAACCAACCATGAAATTACAAAATAGAATAAAAATATTGGATATACAGCTAAAGCCTTCCTTCCTACGGGTTGACTATCACCAAGAAATGCCATTGATGCTAAAAAATATATATATATATATATACATATATATATCATATTTCTAAGAAAATTAAAACTTTAATGCAGAATGATTTTTATGTGTAAAGCTTGATAAACTTATACTAACCATATGTTGCCCATATGAATCCAATCATAGTAATAATGAATCTTAGACTGAATAAAAAAGTAGTCTGTTCTGCCATTAGTATGATTCTACATAAAATTAAAGCAATGGCAGTTGGCAACAAGCAATATCCTAAGACACAAATACTTTGGAAAAAAGATCTATAACAAATATTAAAATGTTTATTAAATATACTAAATAAAATGCAGATACTTGTGTCACTCATTTTTTGTTGTAATATTTTACATTTATAAAACAAAGAATGTCAAAATAAATTAATCATTATCTTTCAATAATAAAAATTTGCAAATTTTTCAATAATGTATAGGTTCATATACCCATGCAATACACTATCATAACAGTTAACACTAAAGCAAAGATACAATTTTTGTTTACTCATTACAATTACTTACATATTGCCACCCAATAATTTAGAATTCAGAGTAACAACCATAGATCCAATCCATACAATTACAAAAACCTCTGCAAATTCTGGTCCCCCATCATTAAAATTATTTGCTGTATCAGAAGAACCTTGTAATATCCTAGAATAATAACCAAAAAGTAATGAACGCAATTATAAAGTATAAGACATTTGGAACATTAGAAAATAATTGAACATACATTGCCATGAATGTACATAATACTAGTGGTCCCCAAAGATCCCCTGCAATGAAAAATATTTGTTGACAAAAATCAATTAATAATTTACATAAAATTATTTCACAAATTATAATTTATAATAATTTGTAAGATATTTTTAGTAACTCACATTCCTTTAATAAGCTTTCTTTCTCCTTGGGATACAGAACATGATAGAACTTTTTGCCCACTGCTCGAACATCCCTGAGCTATAATATAAATAGTAATAAAACAATTAATCATCTCTGTATAATATTTAAATTTATTTAAATTTAGATGTTAAATATCTAACATCAACTCTTATTTATTTATGGTAGATCAATAACAAGGCGAATATATTTTAAAATATAAATTAACAAAAATAATATGGTTATTTTAAAACACAGATCATAAATTATGAATTAAATAATATTATTTCTTTTTATTAATAATATTTCTTTTTATTTAATGATGAAAATTCTTTTTTATTTTCAAAAGTTTCCTTATACAAATAAAATGTTTGTATACTTACAATTGTTTCCCTTATTGGTTCATCTAAAGTATTAAATTCTGGTTCTTCAAGATTTGATTTTTGCTTAGATCCAACTGTCAACTCACCTTCGATATTTTGAGGGTCAGCATATTCCATTGTAATATTAAACTTGAAATTAAAATTTTACACTAATAACATTATTACGTTTTTTAAGAAAAATTATATGTCATGCTTAATATTTTTACTAAAAAATTATAATTATGTAATGTATAATTATAAGGAATAAATGTATTTTATGAAAAATAAAAGACATCTTGAGCATTTTAAGGACAACATACTTACATCGAGTTTTGTATCATTTGTCGCTGCCATATTTGTTGCCGACATTAAACTCGAATTATGCAGTCATTAATTATATTACTTAGATGTTAAATGCAAATACTTGCATATCAAATCAAATCATTATACCATACGCATACAATGCGAATTAAATTTTCACCATCACACAATGTTTCCTTAATAACTTAAATATTGTGTTGTTACTATACGAGTAGTAAGTTAATATGATTTAATACTTCCTGTTAATGTTGTTAATAAAAAGATCTAGAAAGATACAAACGCATTATGATTTTAATTTTTGTCACATAATTACAACGTAACTGTAAATCTTTTAATCACTTTCAGAAAAATCGACACTAACGTTGACACATTAAATGTATGAAATTTAATAGATGGTAGCACTATCGCTATGTCGCGTTTGTAAACTTGTGATTGCGTTCCGTCGATTAAATATTGATTAAGATTATAAAGTTTCTTCTAAAAGAGTATAAATATCATTGGCACTTAACAAGTGTTTCTTACCTTAATACACAAGTATTTTATTGATATATTGCTCTATATTTTAAACAGTTTTTCATTCGATAAAATGCCACGCATTCTCATTTATGTTGTAGTCGTGTCAGTGTTCACATGTATCGCACATGCGCAAAATATTTCTCTGCGTGTCGAGAATGAACAAATCAGTGGAGAGCCGCAAAATAATAGTTCATCTCAAATTAAAGTTTATGAAGAATTATGTATCCACCTAAAATATAATTAATCTTTATTTACCATAGCTTTAGTAGTCTAAAGTAATATAAATATAAATATTTATTACATTACAACTGTTATTGTTTTATTATAATTTTGTTCTCTTAATTGAACAATGCTGCCTATTATGCGTATATAGATCTATTTAGATACTCAAAAGTAAATATTACAATTATCCTATCTTCCATAGATAATTTCTAATAATAATCTCAAGAAAATGATATGTATTATAAATATTACATCAATTTTTATTCCTTATCGTGTCATTTATTGATTTATTAATCAATAAATTTATAGATATACCTTAACTAAAACCTTATTAGTCAAAAAATCATTTGAACATCAGCGCAAGGAACACATTGCAGTCATTAAGCGTCTTCAGAAAATAGATGACTACGAACGTTTGTATAAAATGATTACAGTTTTTGGTGAAAAAATGATTGATGTGATCGAAGCAAGTAAAGCATTGATTGAAAATGGGGATTTCAATCCAAATAATAGATCTTTACCACGAAATGTTACCATACAAAATGGTAATTTTAAAAAAATATATTTCTAGTTTATGCAAATAAAGATATAAATGTATTAAAAATTGAAAAAAGCAGATTCTTACAAAATTAAATAACATTATATTTTTCTTTTTAGCGATTTTTATTACCTTAGAAAACACAGCATTCTTTGGAGATATCCTTCTTCATTTTCCTCATATTACACATCGCATACTTAAGACACAACAAAAATGGAATTCAATTATAAATTGGTCTTTAAATTTCATGTATCGGACGAAATACTTATTGGATTCGGAAACGCTTACGAAAATTCATTTAATATCTCAAGAATTAAATATCACAAAACGCGAACAGGGATATTTCAATCCTTATTGGCAGCGTACTGACTCTCGAAAGGGAGACAATGGAAAAACAAAGAAAAAGAAGTTAGTAAAGAAAGAAAGACAGAAGAGGGGTCCGCAAATAACTAAGATCGAGTTCTAAGTATTTTAATGTCTTCTAAAATACATACATACATGTATATATAATAATGAATTATATTTTTATGTATTTTAAATGTTATATAAATACATTATATTTCTCGTTATAAATATCAAAAATGTATTTATATACCTTCTTCTTAGATTGGCAAATGGTTTTAAAATGTACGTGTTGGTATTATTAAAAGACAGAAAAAGAAAATACTTTTTTCCTTGTTCTATTCTTTAATGTATTATTAAAATTCGGAAGTTCTAATTTTTTTATACATTACAAAATATATATGCAAAATAAATAAAAAATACATGAAAATTTGAAACTTCGTTTCCATGCACCAAAAATTTAAATTAAATATATTAAAGTATTTTTAAGAATTAAGGTTATAAGTTAGAAAATTCCATAAAAATATATACAATTCTTATAATCCATTAAATCTTTAACTTTATGACACATGACTTAGTACCAAAGAAATTCATAAATTCATTTAGAAATGTAGAATCTTGAAGGAATCCAGCTCAAGATCGTTTAAGAAATTTCTAAAAATTGACCAAAATCCAGACTTTTAGCTAGCTTTATACGAAACCACTGGCTGCTTCAATGCGAATAAAAGCGAAGATTTCTCAGACGACCGAGATGGTGGTAGAAAGTGGTCAGCCAATGAGCTAAGAACGGTTCCTACCGTTCGGTTCCTGACTCCCGTAGTCCATGGTAGACACCATTGCTGGTAAACCCTGAGCAACAGTGCCGCGATACTTCTTTCTTTCAGTGCTTCGTCGATGACGAGTGTATCCGTGCATCACGAACCAAAAAAACAAAATTTGCCTGCGGGTACTGCAAGTGCTGTGTAAATTTAACCAAACTGTAAGGAGAACTGGTGAGGCGATTTTTCACGAAGGATGATTTCGAGAAGGAGTCGATTACTGCTCTGTATTGTTGCGTTCACCGTCACCGCAGGTAGGAAGGCACAGCTGCTCGTTGTGAGGAGAGATCGAACGAGGGATCGAACTCGTTGAACGATGTAAAACTCCTGTCTCCTCCTATTATGATCATTTGTCGTTTCGAGAGAAATTTCGTGATTCGATATTTACTATTAATGCATTATAATCAAATGGGAGATTTTGAAAGTTGTACGGATCGCAGCTGGTGAACATGTATTTGTAAATTGTACTTGTTTTTTATTTGTAAAGCAGGTTTTTGAGAAGATCTTCGTAAGTTATGACCGTTCTTTTTGGAAAGCAGTGGGGATAATACAGGAGGAAAATTTTGATTCTCTTTTTATCGAACATTCAGATTATATTAGAATGCTGATTTTCATGTTTCTCATTTTTAGCCTGACAAATGGAATATTTTTTATGAATTTAAATATTGATTATTTATATCTGTTGGTTCAATTTGTGATTAAAAATATAGAAATAATTAGAAATTTTCGTTATTTTATTAGTATCCAAAGGAAATTCTTTATTAAACATCGAACCAATCGATTTATTAGAAACGTGGGTACAATGAAAGAACGACCTTCTGTGGACATTCTCTTAGTAATTTGCAATTCCTCAGTAAATAACCTTACAGTAATCTAACAAATAAAAATTAGTCAGAAATTGCACTTTTTGTGTTCAAATTATTTGGTATTTCGATAATTATTTAACAATACAATCAATATTTAAATTAGTATTAATTAAAAAAATAAACGCACCAAGATGTATTATTAATATTCTTTAATGTTGTAAATTGACGTTCATCGACCACTTTTCCTACGAATCGAATTCAAGGATACTCCTTGACCTATTGCGTGAAATAGTATCTTGTCATTAATAAATTATATACTTAATGTAATGTTCGACATAAGAAAATGGGACAAAATTAACCAATATAATATTAACCAATATTCAAGTATTCTAATAGAAATTCTAATATCTGTTCACTGTGTGATGTATTATAAAATTTTCAAAATTCATTAGTATGTTTTAAGAGTAATAAAGGAAAAAATATAAACCTAGTAATATAAATACCATCGTCCATTGCTATCAATATAAGGTCAACTATTATGCAAAGTTTATAATATGTAACCTTTTAAAAAAGATACAAACCTTAAAAATATTAATTAATTTTTTTTTACTGAAATTATAAAAACCTCTAGTTAATGTTGGATTTGCTCTCGACGATGTTCGAAAGAATCATCTTGAGAATTTGTAAAATGCATGTTACTATGTAAATAGCATTTTCCACGATAAACAAGATTTCCATAGAATGCTGAAAGTTCCCTACATTATCACTATATGTGTCTTGTATAAAGTTTGCACAGATAAAAAGCAAGAAGTCAGAGGAAGCAAAGAACCAGTAGACATGCCGACATGGGAGAAGCGCCGTTAAATTAGGTTCCCGATCGGTGGTTTCACTGCTGTTTACATAAGTTTCGACGTTTACGTATATGGTGTACCGTACGTTCGCGATGGCTGCGTGCGCCACGGTCGATGGAAATGTTGCACCTGAACGATTTACCACAACGTCATTGCCAGAGTAGTACCTTCACTTTCCACTTTGCTGCCAAACCAATCTTTTTTGGCATCTGTGCACACGCGAGATTCGCTTCAATAACGAACAACTATGGTGATGGACAATTCTTGCATGTGTATTTAGTCGGTATAAGTAATCTTGTAAAAAAGACTTCATTTTAACTTCTGGCGCATCGAACGGCATATGTATCGATTGCCGTAACGATAGTCGATATATTGATTATCGATTTTTATTAAATTAATCGGTAAATATGTAAATATGATTATATAATTATCTAGTATACCAATTTAAGGACATATTTCGATATTACTTTATATTTTTATGTTAGTATTATAATATTGGAATGATTTTGGTTTTTAATTATTAAAAATTTATATTTGAATCTATATTCAGTCAAACAGCTACAATATTTGTGAAGTAAATATACTGTGAATCTCATAAGTCAAATTTACTGAATATAATAATCAACATTATTTAAATATATTAGTGGAAAGTAAATAAAATAATTCAAATTTATTTCTATGTTAAAATTATTTATATCGTAAACGATATATTGAGTATTTCATGCCTATACATATCATAAGATCGTAGAGGAATATCTTCCTGGGATACTACTTTCTCCTGACAGTCCATCTGTACAAGATTTCAATGTGTTTGAATCTGAATCTTCTCCCGTCGAATTAAATGCCCATCCATACGTAATTTCCTCATTCGTAAGCTTGATCATGCCATATGTAGATACTCATTCTTTCACTTTAAATCTATTTGACTACTTTTTGATATTTATAATTTACGTTTTTAATATAATTAATATAAAATTTATATTACAGGATAAAATATAAATTTATGAAATGTTTAAGATGAACAAATATTTTGTAGAATGGGTTTCTTTATAGAAGATGGTTCATTTTATCGATAAGTAGAAATAGACTTGTTTGAGGTTATACCGTTCTTCAGTCTGTACTTGGAACAAAAAGCATTATCGCAATTATATATTCATGACACGATTATCAAACACGATTGTGTTAAGAATGTCGCAATGATTAATGACAATGTATCAACCAAGTAGAGGTTCTAAAGACAAGATTAAATGACTCGATTCAAAGGCATTCCATAGTTTGCATACTTTATAAGACTTTCTTAGGCATAATTTCAGAATAATTTAGTACATGCCAATCTAACATATAGTCGAATGGAATTCCGATTGTATCCTTGAGGTTATGTTTACTCAAATGAAAGTGGGAAGTTTAATACTTTTTTTTCTAACGTGTAATTCTTAACATAAAATTTCTTTTACACCAAAGAGGGTACTATAGAACATTCTTTTCATTAGCAGAAAATAAATATTTTACAATTTGCAAGATGATTATCGTTCTGAGAATATAAGAATTTATCAATGAGAGCAAGTCAATGTACCTTGATCTTGTCACTAGCCATGTAACATATATGTACATATATTTAATATATGTTTAATATTCCCACTTTCTTTTCTCAAAGATACTACACCGATTATTTCTCTTTCCAGTTCCTTCTTTCAGTAATGATTACAATAAACAGCATTTTAACGCTTCTGAATAAATGTTCCAACACTGTCATATATATGTACACTCAATTGTGGCTTAATATAACCTCGTAATTGAAGTAACAATTAAATTAAATATTTATTGTACATTTATTAAACAATTTAACAAACTTTGTCTTTTCTGTCGTTTCTGTCATATCTTTACAATTTCACTTATAATGTATTTTCCATAAAAATTTCTAACTTTCTATGTACATATATGCAATATGCATTCCATCTTTAGTTCAATTTTTTCATACATATAGGATGTTTCATTTTAATCTTTATTAACGATTATTTTTCATATTATTCGTAATGCGAAACAATTTTTCAAATAAAACTCACTTTATTTCGAGAAGGTTGCAGCTCTCATTTAAATTCCAAATTCCAATGCGATCTCTTTGTTCTTTTTTTCTGTTTTGATGGTGCTACATACACAGGTGCATATATCTTTTTAACTATACGTTCAGTTCTTTCGGAAACAAGCTCATTCAACTAGAACATATAGGCCATCCAAGTCTATTCAAGGTTATTTACGGTCATTGATGTCTAACTTTATTGAACGTTTAGAAAATATTCCGTATTTCCTGCATTCATTGCTTTGATAGTGCATACGTTTCGTTTATAAATAACAATACTAATAAATTGCATCATTTGACAATTTCTATGGCAAAGAGAAAATCTTGTAATGCAACGGAGCTACATGATTTTTGAGAATTCTAGTCCTAGCTTGATAAATATATTTTAGAAAAAAATGAATATCTAACTAAAATATGATACTTTTAAATTTTAAGATATTCTGCATCCCTGCATATATTAAATAACCTTTATAGTACGGATAATAAAATCGATATAGATCAATGGAATTCTTCAAATGAAGTGACTTGAAATAACATTCGTATTTTTCTTTCTTTCATAATTTAACACTTTTTTTTGTTTTGAAATAAATATTCGCTTTTAATAAATTCGAGTAAATTTTATTTATAGGAGAAGAATGTAAAACAAATACACTTCCCAAAATTATTGTCTAAAGAAAATTTAGTTTTTGGATCAAATTTAATACAATATTTTATAAAATAAATAAATTTTCAATACAAGTTATATGTTGTACATTTCAAAATCGAATCGAAAAAGACCACTTAAAACAAATATTTATACCATCAATATATAAAAATATGAGAATGCATTAATATGTTGAAAATAACATTGACTTTTCATTGTGATTTTTTTCTCAATTTCACACATGTTTACTTTTTGTATTATTTGTTCTTTCATAGATAAATTTCAATATTTATTTTTTCGGTATTTTTATTATTTAATAT